TTTGTGTATTTCCTTCAGCCTTTGGCATGTCATGAGGCGTTTGCTGTGGGATCTCAAGCTGTATCTTTTCTCTCATAACCTTTGCTGTCAGTTTCAGTTCCTTTATTTGCTCCTTGTGGAGTTATTTTACATGACATTAAGGTTAAGTAGAAACTTTTGAATATTGGTATATCTGATATGTATGAATAACTTCCATTCAGAAATTAATTTGTTTCAAATTCTTTTTAATGCCTATAGTTATTTAAGTGTAAAGGGATTTTTAACAGGAAAAAATAAAGCAATCTGTATTATTAGTACTCAAATATTCTTTGAAAAAGCATGTATGTGTGTGTGTGTGTGTGTGTAAAAAAAAAAAAATATGTATGTATATATGAATATGGTGTGTGTGTGTATGTGTGTGTGCGATGAGCAGAATCTAGTTAATTTGAAGAAAAGTTATTAATATTTCATGAAATTTTGGCATAATCTTTGCATTAGAAGTTTTTATAGAAGCATTAAAGACGTATATAGGAGGCCCTGCACTTGCTCAGCATCTGCATTAGTGTTGCCAAATGAATGATGATTGATTTGAGTGATGTTTATTGTATTTGTCAGGTAAATTCAACCTTTGTGCAATGTGCAATAGATAACTAAGAAGCGTCTAAAATGTAGTTGTTCGGGAAGATCCATGAAGTAGTGGTATTTGAAAGAATTTTCATATTCAATCAACCTCCCACCTTTAGATGGAAAATTTCTTAGCGTCACTCCTTACTTGGAGGCATATTATACTGTGACTTTGCTTCTGAGGGCAAGTACGTAGCAGGAGAGAACAGTGATTCCAAACAGGAATTTTAATGTGATATTAAAGTTCTAAGAGATGAAGTGATCAAAATATTTATGGCAATGTGATCATATAGTAAAGACAAAGCATTTATATTTCTTAAATTTTTGCATTAAATGATAATTTTTCATTACACGAGTTTAAAGTTCTAATACAATATTTCTTTTTGTTAAAACTTGATAATGCTACTCTGCATCCTCTTCAGGGCTGTTCTCTTTATCTCACATAATCTCTCTTCTCCCATCTGCCATTTGCTTGCTTCTCCTTATTCCTACTCAAAACATTCTTTCCAACAATGACTCCCGATCATGTGACACACTTTAAAACTTGGGGGGGAAAAAGCTGAATATAGTATATACATGACAAAAACCAAGATGCCTTATACTATCCCTCTGCTTGCTCTAAGTGACCTTTTCTACCTTATATCCCTCTTAACCATCTATTCCTATGTTGCATCTAGGGACATGACAAGCAATCCCACTGAATTCAGTGGAATTATGCACGAGTAGTTTCTTATATTAAAAAAGTGCTCCAGGAACAATTGTAGCACTGTGCAAAGAATTGAGCTGTTCTGTGAAATCAAGGTTTTGGGAAGAGTGTTCTTAAAATAAATAAACAAACTCCAACATTTAAAAATTGGGCCTGGTGATGGTTATATAAATTATTGCAGAACTTCCCAAGTTTCCTTTGTGATACATGCTTGCATATAGAAAACCACATGTGCCAGTTGTTAACATGGGCTAGGTACAGACATTCAAAAAGCCTGAGGCAGATTTGATCTAAATTCCAGGGTTTTCTGCAAGCATCGTAGTTTAGATCAGTAGTGAACACAACACTTATTCACCCTTTGGTGGGGGGAAGGGAGGACAAATCTTAGACCAGGTTCCACCATTTTTAAACGAGTCTGTGTGCTGAACTTCTGCTCTGTTACAGGTATAGACCAGTTTTGTGTTCAGAACTTCTGTTATAGATATAGACTGGTTTATGATCACTTATACTAGTAAAAGTGTAATGTCTGTACCTGGCCATGGTTGGTATGATTAATGCCACTTTTCAAAGGTGTTCTTCAAAAATAACAGGGAAGCCAGAACACATCCGGGGGCTCTGCTAGCAGTTGTGTTTTATGTAGTTACCTGCTCAACAAAGGTATATTTTATATTTTTCATATAAAACTTAGTGTGGTGTGTCAAAATCCTGTTTCTCCAATTCTGCCCTTTCTGAAGTGGGCTCTGATTGGATTTTAGCAGAGACCTAGCCACTTGCGTGTCTAAAAAGAGTGAATGTTAATTGCAGAAAGATTGGCTTTGTAGAAAATAGAAATGTTTATGAATTGGTCTATTTTTGTTTCCATGGTGGGTGTCAGGCAATGAAGGATAGTTATTTTGCCTGCCCTGCAGGACATGCTAATTTGTAAGAGATTAAAAATAAAAAACAATTTCACATGTATATAAATGCAATATGCGCATTTAATGAGCAGTTACCAAATAATTGTCGAACTGAACTGACTTTCTAGTTGAACATCTAAATGTGTGGTAACTTAAAGCCTATTTTTGTGATATATTTCATGTTAGTGACAGCTTCCTGCTTAAGATTATTGAATTTATTATTATTCAATAATAATTTATTATTATTATTCATTTATTGAAATTAATTTAGAGAAGTCAAACTTTTCAAATCGGTTTGGTATTTAATACAGTTTGGAAAAAAAATTAGATTTTTAACAGATTTGCCACCTGGCAATTTTATAAATCTTCTTTAGATTGAAACTGAAATGGTCCTCCTTCAGGGCAGCTGTGCATGCGTGCACGTGTGTGTGTGCGTGCACGCATGTGTATGCATGTGTGTGCATGCACACACATGCATTCATACATACACCTTTTTCAATAGGGGACAGGGGAGGAGTCAGAAAGGAACCTAGCTCTGATGATTACTTTGTGTAGTGGTGGTGTTTATGAATTGGGAGAATATTCTGTGTATGGTTCCAGTCAGAACTAGGGATTAAACTGAGGTAGCCTGTGGGGGCAGGACTCAGTTTCTTGGTGGTTCCAGGAAGTGTTTCAAAATCTCTACTTTCATTTAGAAGAAAAAGGGGAAGAGTACTTAACGAACTAGCTCCTTTGTTTGGGAGATGTCTTGAGAGGAGAGTAAATCATGAATGTGGTGACAAATAATTGTAAACAATAGAGCTACGTGTATACAAATAGGAAAGGTCCCTGTTTGGCTCAAGTTTTTTTCCCCTGAAGCATAATGGTGACTGTTTGAATGTCAGCATGGTTAATTATTTCATTACCAAGTTCAAGCAGCCACCTATGCATTTTGTAGCTATGATCAGTGAAATTGCTGATGCTTGATGTTCCTCAATAGAACGGAGGGGGAAATTTATTCTCTGTAAATGTCCATGGGCTTTGCAGTGCCCATCCATCCCTGGTCTAAAATAACCTGGCTTTATCAGCTTCTGGGGCAAGCAGCAGAGTACACTTGTGTTTCCAGACTTTGAAGGTAGGTAGGAAGATGAAGGTATAGACAGATACATCATAGAAAGGCCAGGTTGCACTTGAGCTATTGCTTGGCAAAGAAGGCTGAGCTGGTTGAACTGCATATTTGGGGTCAGGAATTTTAAAACCATTGCTTTTCAGGAGAGATTAGAGCAAGTTCCTGCATTTTTTTCACAGCGCTTATAAAGAGGGAATTGCTTAAAAAGGCAGCTTCCTTTACAGAGGGTATTTTCCCTTCCTTGAATGAAGTTTTTGACAGGTTGTGATTAGTGTAAGAGAAGAGTTTAAGAGTTTTTATAAGGAGAGAAACATATTAATTGAATAAGATTGGACATGTTCCATGGCACATGTTTTAAGTAAAATTTGTAAATGGTTTTAAATTAAAAAGGAGGGTTGGGGTTGGGGTTGGGGGTGGGGGGGATTTGGGGCAGGCATTTAAGTCAAGTTACCCATTTTGTGATTTACCATGTACTTTGCCAGAAGTGAAAGGCAGCACCTACAGCATACCAAAGACAAGTCTAAACATGTCACTTTCAAGTGGGTTTACATGCTTCTGGAACTGAACTGTCAGGTTGGATATTTCTATTAAATATGAAATGCACCTCTCTGAAAGTCTGAGATTAAAATGCAGACTCTGTACAGCAGCTCATGCAGCAGTATGACTTGGGGAAATGTACAAGATAGTGCTTCAGCTTCGATAATACAAAACAAGTTGCCAGCTGTTAAATCTGTCAGGCCCAGGTCAGTGACATGTACAATGCTGGTCTGTGTTTGTCTGTGTCTTGTAACAGATTTGGAAGTGTTGGGAAAACTATTTATTTGTTTTTCTTTCTGGTAAGGACAATTGAAAGCTTCTGTATACACTCAAAGCATTCCACCAGTGATTTAAAATTATGATATCAAATACAAATTAAATTTTGCTCTCTCCTATATGGCAGCATCCCTAGATACAAAGGACATGTCATTGTTTTGTCTGATTGCTATTTCTTGAACCATTGTAACATAGCATAGAAAATAATACTTGTACAAATTTACTCTGCTTTTAGATCTTATGGCAACTAAGAGATCAATTTCTGAGCTTTTGCTGTATATATTGTAAGCTTTATACTTATTCCCCTAACATTGATACGGTATTAAAATGTTAAGACTCCCTTTTTAATGCCAGGTAACCTCTAGTTGCAAGATGGCTTGGTCTGATTCATAGAAGTTAGGAGCCGGAAGGGACCTCAGAGATCATCAGGTCCAGACCCCCTGCTTTCATTGAGAAGATCTTATTTCTTTATATGTATTTGCAGCCAAACATTCTTGTATATTATGACCAAGACTAGCATCTGATCTAGAGAAATGTTGATAGATTTTAGGTGGTTACATGGCTGTTTAGAAAAAGGGATAACAGAGGGAGAAGCAGAAATGGAACTAATTATAGACACAGACTATGGAAGTCTGATTTTGTTTTTAAATGCCAAACTTCGCAACTTTAAAAAACACAGGAGATGAGGACTTCGGGATAAAAGCAGGGGATGGGGACTTCATGCAAAGGGTGTTACTGTTTTTGTTTATTCTTAAATATGTCATAGAGCTTTATTCAATGAAGTGGAAGGTACTCAGCACCTTGCAGGAGTGGACCTTTAATGGAATGTTGGAGTGGGAGAACTTACTTGAAATCCTTTTCTCTGGTCTTTCAGGCAGGGGCATCACAGGTCATCTTCACTAATCCACTGGAGATTGTGAAGATTCGGTTGCAGGTAGCAGGAGAGATCACTACAGGGCCCAGAGTCAGTGCCCTTACTGTTCTAAAGGACTTGGGGATTTTTGGTCTTTATAAGGTATGTATTCCTACTCTGAGCAGTCTCAGCAACTGCTTTTAATCCATTTTATGCTAAACTTAAAAACTGTTGAAACAAAACCTTTGTTGAGAAACAAAGAAACCTTTTCAAATTTAAAAACAATCTCTTCCTGCAGAGCAGCCCCACAGTAGAAAACTGAAAAAACCCACATTTATATTAGTGGCAGTGGGATACATAAAAATACTCCCCCATTCCATCCTTTGGGCTTTTATACTAAGCTGCAGGGAGTCCTGTATTGGAGACCTGCTGGCTTCTGGCACGGATCATTTCATTTGGTGGGGTTTTGTGAAAAGTTTCTTTAGCTTTCCTTTTATATTTGTCTTACATTTATTCTGAATCTCAGTTATCTCCATTGTTATCTCTGCAGCAGGGTACTCTCTTTGTCTTAATAATTTGACGACAGTGAAACAGTAGTAGAGTTTAGTAGGATTCGGATCTTTAAGAAGTTAAGTGGTGGGATTTGTCAATAATGAATTCCATTAAAAAAGCCCATACTGTACTGTACTTTAGCAGAATGCCAGTCAACAGATTCCTTCCCTGCAGGTATATTTACTACCATCATTACAGATCAGATGTAATGGAGCAGAAGCTATTAGTTTTCTTAAACAAGGAAGAGTATTTCTTTCTGTCCCTTTAGCCAGTGCAAGGGGTAATGCGTAAATTCAGCACCTGTCTGCAGCTGTGCACTTGCAACACATTGTTTTAGTTTTATGGAGCTATGATAATACTTTAAAAAAAAGTGTAAATTTGCCTCCAGAGCTGCAGCTTTTATTCTGAATTCAGTGGATTAGATTCACACAGCTATAAGGTTTTAAAGGTCACAGACGTTTTGATACATAGGACATTTTAGAGCAATTACCATTTTATGCTTGGTAATTAAAAAGTTAAGCTTACTAAGAATTTGCCATTTTTTAAAATGCACAGTAACCCTAGTGATGTTATTTGGAATTAACTGTAATTAAAAAAGAAATCCAAATCTTAGTGAAGTAAATAACTGGATTGAACTAGTCAGAAACTGTGAAGTCAAGTTCATACAAGCAACAGTGTCTCCAGAAAGCCATCTGCACCAGTGGGATCCCATAGATCCCATGCAGAAGACTGTTTGCTCCCATGTATCACTAGGGAGGGGATGCTAAGAAATGGGCCAGAGAAGATCCTACTGGATCTGCTTTTGCATATTCCTCCTCATGTTGAAAATGCAGAAGCACAGTGGCCATGTCTCTGTACAGCAGTATGGGTTACACCCCCTTGTGGGGGAGGAGAAAAGGTGTGTGGGAATCACAGTTATTGACTGGCTCCAGATGAATGGTGGCAGCTCAAATTGGAGGGACATGAGAGTAGCCAATCCTGCTACAATGGAGCAAAAACCACAGAGCTTGGGAAATGCTGTTGCCAGTGTGGACTGGAGTGGTAGGCAGAAGAGACTGTTTCTATATTAGCCAGGGCATGTCCTCAGAATGGGGGGAAGAGACTTTCCCACACAATCCAATTACGTATGTGTTGTACAGGAGGGGTTATGTTGCCCAGCATAAGATGAATAATCAAGGACTTAAAATGAGGGTTGTTGACATGACATTGTAGTAGCAAATTGAGAGCTATTACAGTGTGTTAAACTCTCTGGAAAAATATTTTAGGTTGCTGGTAGACCTGTAAAAACCAAGTTTTATCCAAGAATGATTTCCATTCCTGGGCCAGAGTCATGCCCATTCCCTGTGTCAGCCAGGGTAAGTCAGCAGAGAACGGTATGAAGCCCTCCAGGCAGGGCTGTGTAATGTGTCCAGGATCTTGTGGAGTCATATAGCAAATGGCAAACAAAGGCCCTACCTCCCTTCCCTGATGTGGCAGGATGCTACTTTGTTGGCAGGCTGAGCACCAAGGGTTTATGAGGTTTTTACAAGTTAAATTTATGTGTGTGAGAGGTGCAAAAAAGTATCTATCCAGCAATTGATGGCAAGCCTTAACTGAAGGCTGCTTAGTAAAATCAGATATGAACGCTGCTGCTGCTTTAGCAGAGATGGCTGAATGATTGAGGGTTTCTGTTTGGATGTTTAAATTTACATCCTTTATTCTGAGACATTGTTGCACCTGCTATTTACCAGGTAGGTCACCTAGAGTGACTTGGCTCAGGCAGGTTTCCCAGATTTCAGTTGTAACCATATTTGCATAACTTGTTTGTACTGTTTTGTTTCTGTGCCAGGGTGCCAAAGCATGTTTCCTCAGAGACATTCCCTTTTCTGGAATCTACTTTCCTGTTTATGCTCATAGTAAACTTATGCTGGCTGATGAAAATGGCCATGTGAGTGGGTTGAATCTCCTGGCAGCTGGTGCCATTGCAGGTAACTTACTGTATATTTTCTAGAAGTAACATTTTTCTTCTAATAGGCAATAATAAATATTCATTCTTCTGTCCCATATATATGAAAGGTAATATACTGTTGTATCTGACTTAATCTAAATTTGATCACTGTTATCCTTGGTGGGAGGTTGTGTAATTTTGATGAGAGCTAATTACATTTGCATAAATGTGGATAAACAGTGTAATGCAGCTCAGCAACTTGTAGTCACATTTCATCTATCTCAATGGGGTTTTACTTGTTACCAACCTCTCTGACTTGAAGACTAATTTGAATCTTTGATGAATGTACACTGAAAGAAGGGCTAGGAAGAAAATGACTTGCCTAGTTTAGGGCTTCTGAACAATTTGAAGAAACTCTTACTTCAAAGTTCAGTCCCAAAAAAGGATTAAGGATGTCTTTCCTGGCTGGTAAGGAAATCTGTGGAGACAACATACCTTGTAATTAAAAATTCAATTGAGGCTGAAAGCAAATGTTCAAATTCCAGGCAAAGGGATGTTTTAATTTTGGTAAGTGATTAAAATTTAAATGAAAAAAATCATAAATATTCACAAATTGCCTCCAAAAGCAAACACAGTTCTCTGCCAAGAAGTGGGCATTACCTGTGCCTTCCCTTTTTCGTTTGAATAAGAAACCAAGGACATTGCTGCTCTACCAGTTTCTCCCATTACTGCCAGCTGTTCCCATAGTGTCTGTCTCAGACTTTTGAAACATTTTCATTGTCAGTCTTATTTTTTTTTTAAGTGTCTTCTGTTTTAGTAGTAAGATGGCCAAAAGCCATTTGGAACTGTAGAAAAAATGGACTGTTAAATGATCACTGTGCATATTAACACATTTAAAAATGAATCAATGAAGGATTTAGAATGTTGTACCTGGGAGCTGTGCAGACTAGTTAATCAGCTATCTAGTTACAAAGTACTTTGTGTGTAAGATAGTTCAATAGAGCTATTAATATTAAAAAGCACAGTAATATTTGAGAGCACAACTAATTTATGTCACAAAACTTAATCTTTATTTTTATGTGTGTATGCAACTTAACCTATATGTAGAAAAACTTTTTAAAATAAAATGATTTGACATAATTGTGAAACTTAAATGACAGCGATAAGAAAAAATTGTTCTTATTATCTTTGTCTAAGTTTTATAGTAATCTTGACTGCATTTGTACAGTGTTTTCTTTAGCACCTGTCTTAAAATTTAATTGAGATTTAGAAGAAACACAGCAGAATTGTGCTCTGCTTTGAATACTTTATATTAATACTAGAACATGTGTTAGTTTGTATATTTTTTTAGGGCTTGATTTCTCAAAATATTAGTTTGCAGTTTTATATTCTTCAACACTATAAATGTTTTATATTTTACAAGATATTTTGTGGAAATTAAATGCTGTTTTCTTCTAAAAGGTGTTCCTGCTGCTTCCTTGGTAACCCCTGCTGATGTCATCAAGACAAGACTGCAAGTGGCAGCACGAGCTGGTCAGACAACATACAGTGGAGTTTTTGACTGTTTTGGGAAGATACTTAGAGAAGAAGGCCCTTCAGCTTTGTGGAAGGGAGCTGGAGGTAGGGAACTGACTTTATGTACTGGATCTTTCTCACTTGACTAGGGATTATTCATAACAATAAAGGTTTCAGGGCAGGGAACTATAATTTTAGTTATATACAAGTTGATTTTAAATATTCGCATTTTTCCCCTGCACTAATATTACTATCTTCAATATTGAACAGCTCGTGTATTCAGATCTTCACCTCAGTTTGGTGTTACTTTAGTCACTTATGAACTTCTGCAGCGATGGTTCTATGTCGATTTTGGAGGACTGTAAGTGCAAATGTTTGCTTTAAATATGCAAGCAGGGCCTGCCAAATTCAATTTCTTAATCTCTAGAGATCTACATGGAAAGATTTTGTGGGAACCAATGGATTTTAAACTTAGTGGTTTTGATTAGCTGTAGCGCCAGAATTTTGCTTTAATAGTACCCTATGCAAAAAAAAGAAAAAGAAAACATGCATGCATGTATTTTACTAACAACATCTTGGGCATTAAAATTGAAAGAGCTTAAAAAGATTGAACTGATTTTACTTGTATACTATTACACTATCCCAGCAACATGAAATATAAGTTGGTTCAATGTTTTTAATGCATTAAATATAGCTGCTGCATTTGGGTTGCTAACTCTAAGTTGTTTTTTAAATCTCGTTCAAAATGTTTTCCTTATTTTTATTTAAATATAAGATTTTTTTTAACTATCAGAAAACATTTCTGTTGCTACTACGTTTTGTAAGCCCTTTTAAAGTATCCAGAAATGAAATTTAGCCTGATCTACTTGATCACAGCTATTTAAAAGCTATTATAAATTTGCTGTGTTGCTTAGTGTCTGTGTGAAAACCTTTGTCAATCTGCAATGTTTCTGTTTTTCTTCACAAACAGCAAGCCTTCTGGATCAGAACCTACACCAAAATCTCGAATCTCAGACCTTCCTCCTGCTAATCCTGACCACATAGGTGGATACAGACTTGCTACAGCTACATTTGCTGGCATAGAAAACAAGTTTGGCCTGTATCTTCCAAAATTTAAATCCTCTGGTGTTGCTTCAATTCAACTTAAAGTAGCGGCTGAATCCTGAGATGACTTTCTGCCTAGTGAAGTGGTGCAATGTGGAAAAAATATTCAAGAACAGTACTATAGCTATTCATTCAGCTGCATGTTGCTCTAGCTGACCTGAGAATTCAATTCAAATTACCCCTTTATGATATACAACATATGTTTATTTGTTTATAAACTAGTCACTTGCACACAAGAAGCAGATTGAAGCTTTAGTTCTATGCATTGACTTTTTTTCTAACTGGTGGCATGAATTAGTAACCTAGACTTGGCTTTGCACAGCTTGCAGTTAATGTTACTGTACATATTGTACATCTTTGTACAGAGACATCATGGCATCTCTACACAATTACATTTATATAATAGGAATTGCAGTTCTAAATAGTTTGAAATGTACAGAATGTTTTGAAGGTGTTTTATTAAGAATCATGTGACAATAAAATGTATTTAAAAACTATTTAAAGTCAGTTAACTATTTTTTTTGTATTTTGTAGAAATAAGCCATCAAATATTTGTCAGCATGAGTTGCAGATTTTTAGGAACAGAAAGAGACTGTTATGACCATAATCTAGTATATTTTTTCTTACAGAATTAGTCAAGGTTTTAAAACAGGTAAGTCAAATGCATAAAAATGCCATACACTGACTCGAGTAATGTACAATAACTGTATGTGTTTGAGTTTGAGAAATATTTTAATTTTTGGAACCTATAGGTATACCCCTGGTGACACTTACGGTGATATGAGGCTGGTTATTTTATCTTATTGACATATTTATGAGTTGGTGATGTTTCTTATCTCTGGAATAGCGTGTTTAAAATGCAGTGAGAATATATATGTAGATTTTCTTGTGACCAGTCTAATTTTTTTCTGTAAATTGTACATATCTGAATAACAGTTTCATGAATTCAATGCAACTGGTTTATCCTTGCCATATTTTAACAAAATAATTGCCAGGATATGTTGGTAGCTTGCCAAGCAAGTCCCCAAAGTCTCATACTTGTAATTAACTAATAAAAGGCCTTGGACAAAATCTCATCCTTGATGTAACTCTTGATCTCAGTGAAATTGCCTAGGGATAAATTTGACTCCCTGTATAGTTTAAGAAATTGATTATACAAGGGTTGATTGGTGAATATTCACATTCTGAATTCTGATCTAAGCTCTTGTTTAACAGGCACTGTATCCATTTTACTATGATTGTGCCTTACTGAACAAGGGTTTTATTTAATGTGCAGCATGAGAAATCCTACCCCTCCTGCCAGGGGGGTTAGCATCTGATGTGCAGCACTGTGTGAATGTATGCAAGCATCTTAGAATTCAGCCTTGTAGATTTACAGAGCTGCTCTATATTCTGCACAGGAGGTTCCTGTAGCTTTAGCAGAATGACTTCTGACAGCTCAGGGAGCCACAAGCCCTCCTGGCTTTGTGGGTTTGAAGTATTATAAGAATTAATCCATTTGGATATACTTGTTTGAAGGAGAGCTACATTCTTTCTTGTTAGGATGAAAAATGAGTTCTCCCTCCCTCCCTCCCTCTAAAAGTTCTGCAAATCTTTATTTTCCAGAAAAATAAAATAGAGGCACTAGGCTACTTTCCAAAGGATGGGTGCTTTTACTCTGGGAAGATTTTATAGTGCTTTGAAAAAAATTATGTAGATCTTTTGCTTCACGTAAATTAGCCAAATTAAAAGCACTTTCAAGTGGTGGGGCATTAGTTTCATGAGACTGCAGTTGCAACTTCCATGTATTGGATAAGCATGAATTCCCGATCATAGTTATAATCTATCCTCCTATAGGTAAGGAGTGAAGAAACAGCAGAGTCAAATTTCTTAAGTCTGTTTAGATATTATGCGGTGAAAAGCAGTAGTAAAATACCAACAGTATATTGATTAATTGATTGGTTGTTCTGTTCACTAGATATAAACAGGAGCACAACTAGTCACTACCTGATTCCTGGCAGCAATTTTAATTGAAAAGATTTGTTCATTTCAGAAGGCAGACATTGGCCAGGTAAGGACTGGAGGTTTCTGTCCTTGCTTACACATATCTTAGAGAACTGCGGTATGACATACTATTTGCTGAATTAAATACCTTGGGAGATCAATTTACTGTAAAAGCTTGGAGGATTAAAATAATGAAGCAAACAGTCAGAGTTGCTCTGGGTTTATTCCAGTTAATATTTTAATTCAGTTTAAAGTAGCTGAATGGCAATGATTTTAACATATGAGAAAGAGGAGGGGGAACTTGTTAAGAACTGAGTAGTAATGTCCAGCCATTGCACGCTTTCTATCAAACAAGAACGCCCAAATCTTTCATGGGTGCTGCAATGCACTGTACTGAAAGTGTCATATATTGCACAGTACTTAATGAGTTACAATCCAATTTTGAGCAAAACTCCCCTTGACTTTAATAGAGTTGCGTACATATAACAAGACGGTAATAGAGCTCCTAGTTCCCATTTGTTGGTCAGAGAGAATTACCTGTTTAGGCAGTTTCCCCTGGGTATTGACTTCCTAGGCAGCTCACACTTACATCTATATATTTTGTTCTGCTAAAGACAAATCCTTGAGGGGTAGAAAAATATTTGGTACCCACTGGCATTTAATCTTTGTCACAGCTTGTTGACTTGACTTGATCAAGGCCTTAGGAGACTTTGCAATGGGAGATTGCATTTATATTTCTTCCAGTTCCAAAACAGTGATTGGACAGTGAGGCTCCCATGATGATCATTTACAGTATCTAACATCCCTGGCACTAGTGTGTTGGTATGTCCTTAACTCTGCAGATGTAGGGTTGACAAAGAGATTCTGTGCGCACTTTCCCTAATACTTGAAGGCGTGTGGGTGGAAATGCAAACTGTAGCTTGTTGGGAGGCATAGAATGCTTATAAATTGCTTGAAGCTAGAGCCCCTTTTCTAAAAGTTTTCATAAATAAAACCTGACTGCACAGATGTAGATCCATGCTGGAGCCCAGCAAACTGTTCATTTGTATAGAACTGTTGTCAAGAGCATGCAGGAGTAGGAACTCATTTACAGGGATTTTGAAAAATTAATTTAGAATTAACTTGTTTTGAAGTGGGGAGTGAAAGGAAATCCTTCCAAGGAGGACCAGAATTAAGTTCTAGCAAAAGCTGCAAGTCTGAGCTCATTAAGAATTCTCATGCCTGAAGGGTAGAAATCATCACATGATGTGTCTGTGCTTTATATAGTTCCTGTGTTTCTCAGCTGAACAGATAGCAGCTATCATAAGGTTGGTGAAAATATACAGGTCAAATGTCAAATTGAACAGCATGACTTTGGATTGAAAATAGAGGGGGTACTTTTGACAAAGCAAACTGATGGAAGCCTGAAGGCATTTCACTTTCAAACCTATTGAACGAAGATAACCTCCTGAAGCCATCATTCCAATTACTGTAGCCAGTCTCCATATGAACTTTCTCATAATAGAATGAAGCTTGCTTTTTTCTTTTCTTTTTTTTAAATAAGACCAGGAATTGAATTGGTGACAGAACTTATGGCTTACAGTGCAGCTTAAACAGCAATGTAAAACCATTCTCTGACTGAGTAAAGAAATCAAGAATACAGGTACCAAATAATTTTGCTTAGTGTTAGATCAGATTTGCATGACGTCAATGTCACGTTCTAGAATAGTGATTCAGTGGGAGTGGACCTGCATCACAGAGGTGGCTAGAACATTTTTCAATTAAATTTCTCTCAAAATATGCTGTTTTGATGCAACTGAACCACTTTTGTAAAGATGTATTGATTTTTATTTTTTTTAACAAGGTGGTTTGAGGTTACTTCAAAATGGGGGAGAGACATGAATAGAAATCTTTTACCTTAATCTAAAAATGGATGTTCCAGTAATAATTCTTCACAAAACTGCTGAAAAAGGTTTTATCTTGTGTTTTTGCTGTGGAATAGAAACAAATTCCAAAGCCTTAAAAGTCACGTAGAAGAGTTATTCTCTGGCCAGCTGTAATATATGGTGGTAGTTTCTGGGAGCAAACTAGAATTAGGGCCATGAAAGTGCACTCATACATCCATTTTCAAGTGGCTTTCACTTGCTGGGATTAGAAATAGCTTTGGTGTAAGATTTCTCTTGTGCTTAGCCAAAAACATACCATATTTACCTAAATCCAAGACTACTTTGAATTTAAGACACCCCCGGCCTAAAAATTAATTCTAGACATGGAAAGGTTTTCACTTTTGTTATAAGATTCCATATTTCAAATCTAATTATTAGAGGGTTGCCTTAGTCTCCCCCACCACTGCATAGGATAAGCAGCAGCAGGGGGCTAGACAGTTGGGGAGTTTTAAATGGACTGACCCCTTCTGCTTGCCATCTGTTTCCCCCCCCCCCCCCCCCCCTGCCTCATGCCTGCCCCCCAGGGTGCCTGTGCTTCCCTGCCACTTGTATCCCTCATGCTTGCTCCTCCCTATGCCTACAACCCCTGGCACCTATCCCTCACCACTTGCACCCCTCCTCCTTGGCCTCCACTTCTCCCCCTTCTGGTGTCCCCCTTCCTGCTGCCAGCTCCCCTGCCACTTACCTTCCTGTTGCTGCTTCAGTTGGGGCAGAGAACAAGGACAGAGTATGTGCTGCTCTGACCCCAGCCATGCAGCAGTAGCAGCTTCAGCCCAGAAGCTGGGGCCAGAGCTGTTGCCACAATCACTGCCCCCTTGCCACTTAACTTCCAGCCCAGGCCAGGGAGCATAGAGATGGGGAGGTGAGGTGACAGGGTCAAGGTCAGGGAGGGCATTGACTGCAGCTCTGACTCCACAACTCCTGGCTTGTATTCACGTCTAAGACAAGGGGCTCCCCCCATGTTAAGTGGGGGGAACCTTGTCTTGGATTTGAGGAAATATGGTACAGTATTTGTATTTTGCTGAGAATCATTTTTGAACCATCAGGCACCTGCTCAAGTTTTCTCAGTAAATGAGGAAGAATATTTTTCAAGCAGCAAATTGTGATGCTGTGCCATCCCCCTCCACCCTCATTAATTCTCATTCAGATCAGGATGATGTAGGTGGTTCAAAAATTGTTTAAAAATCATGAAACTTGTATGCAGTCTGCTTGAGCCCTCCCCTGTACAACCAGAGAGGAAATGGGTATTGTGGAGTTTCGTCATGGCTACCAAGTATCAGCTAAGACAGTTCATGGGTCATGTAGCCTGAGGACTACAGTAGTTTTTATAGCCTCCATCCCACATCAATTTAAGCTAATGCATCGCTGTGCTTAAGAGGCCTCTAGCTCTATCCTTGCCCATCTTAAAACGTTATTCCTGGCTGTTAGACATGTACAGAACAACTCATCTGGAGCCTCCCTCTTACATGGTGGGACAGGTTCAGTTCTGTTGATTTTGGGGGAGAGGGCTCTACAAACCTACACTTGAGCCACTATGATTTTCTGTCAACTGCTGTAAAATTGGCCAGTGCTGCTGTTTCAGCTCTGTGCACCTTAAATGGACACAAAAAAAGTGCTTTAATTTCTGTGACTGCATGTCTCACAAATACAAGACAACTCTGTGAACACAACAGTATTGGTTTCCATAAAAAACACAAACTCCAGCTATCCTGTGCATGTGTACACATATAATGTGCCACTAGTCTGAATCTTGAATTGAAACATCTAGAAAATTCAAGACAGGAAAGTAACTTTGCTGCCCTTGATATTTTAAAATTAATCATTCTTAAGTAAATTTGAATTTGTGATTATAACTGTTGAAGCACCAAGGCTGAATTTTATACATTTATTTTAGCGTCTTAATTTTTACCTAAGTTTTTACCTTTGCATTGTGGGAAATGACAACTAGATTAAATAATTAAGCCCTCAATGGCATTTGCAAGGTTACATTCCTCCTTTCTTCTTCCCAAATCATGTAACTTCAGGATTAAAAGCATTGTGATTCAACAGTTGTAGTCCCCATAATATCCTACTGTTCCTCTGATCTTGGATGAGAGAGGATGGTGGCGAGCTGTCACATTAGAAGCGAGCACTACTTTTCTATTGTTTTTGGCAATGGCTTCTGTTGGAAGCCGCTTCAGTCTGCTTGCAAAGAAAACTAGTTGCTACTAGTATGTTATCTTCAATAGACAAGTAATTCTACAATGGCATGTAAGGTTTCAAGTTAGGTTCGAGAAAACTTTGGAGAAGGAAGCCAAATATGGAGAGCATAGATTGGTTACCATCTCATATCCCTTGGAAGTTTTGAATTCAGAAGCCAACAAGTATCCAACCTCAGTAATGGACTCAGCAAGTCAGGTGCTTCCAGGTGCAGTAAGCCGTTTTTCTCCTCAGAGGATTCTGCACCTTAGGACAATGCTATATCTAGCTTGGATGTGGCAACAACTGCATATTGAGTGCTTTGGACAAAGCATATTGTGTGTTGCAACACAGCTACCTACTGCTAACAGACAGAGATGCAATGTTAATTTAAAGGAAAGCGGAAAGAGAAACAGGAAGTTCAGTAGGCCTACACAATGCCAAGCTTAAGTAGACAGGCTTCTCTTATAAACACTTAAGCATCAGAAACTGCCATGTTGAGTCCAGAGAAAGTGTGTGACTTTAGGTAAAAGTGTTTTCTCTTTATTCCACGTAAGGAACCCTGGGATTACTACTAGATTTGATAGTAAGGCAATAAGTCTCCAGTGCGCTTGAAACGTAAGAACCTGTCCCTTTCATGCTTGGCAGGACTGCTCCCAGAGTGAGTGGGATTGATTTTCATATATCTGGCTGGCCAAACTCTCCCCTTAAAGCTCTTAGCAACTTATAGTTGTTTCCCTCTTACTTTAGATGGAAAGACAATGGAACCCAAAGCAGAAGACAGATAACAATAATGTAGCATTGCCTGTTTCTGACACTTAATTTGATGAATTCTGACCCCCTCTCCCCCCACTCTCTGGACTAGTGAGTGTTCTCCATAAAATAGCAGTGTTCTAAGATGGCTGGATAGCATTCTGAACATTTTCAGCAGAAAATCTCTGTGAGAATGAATACTTGTCTGGCAGGAACTATATTAAAGTAGGATTCTTGCTAACTTGAACAGACTGGGGTAAAAGAAGAATGTGTATAGCTCCTCCTCAACAGTACTGTCCACATGCACAAGCAGGGCACAGAGAAGCGGCTTGGCCTTGGAGAGAGGGAAAACAGACACTTTATTGGAACAGACAGCTCTAGTTAATCAGTGTTGATTCAAGAACGGAAAGGCTTCCTTAGAAGGTAAAACAGTCTCTCTTACTATGAGGCAGGCAAGGGAAATATAGCTGAAAGCAGATTGGTATGTTGCTACAGAAAACTGGCAGCCTTTGTAGACAGTTTCTGTCTGAGAAGCTCCATGGGAGCAACACAATCACCCGGAAAGGACTTGGAGCTGGACCCCTCCTATAATCCACTCTGATGCATAAAGAGGCCTGTGGAAACTGATCTGGAGCAAAGAAGACTTTAAGAGAAACCCTTCTTGTGACAGAAGCTGGGCCACATCTCTTCCTAAGTATAGGTTGCCTGGCAGAAAATGGACTGTGTTTCTTTTTACCATTCCTGGTTGCTTAGCAGTTTTATTTTTAGCTATACCATGGAGTACAGAGTTTTCACTACAGGTAATTCCATTCAGCTTTACACATTACAATAGGGTTTCTGACATCAACTCTACATCTGGGCAACAGGAATTCAATGGTCCTACCCAACACAGCAGGCAAAGACAAATTCCTAAATTCTTTGCTCACTTAAAAGCTATCCTCATGGAATATTCTAATACTGCATACTATAGCTGTACAAGCTGCAACTAAGAAGCTAGAGTCTAGCTATTACAGTACTGAAGAGGCAAGGAATCCTTACTTTTGGTACTCTCAATGGTGTCTTGGAAGTAAGAGGTGGAAAACTTTGTTTTCAGTGTAAAGCAGCAGCTCCTAGTGGATTAGTAACATCTTTGTTTGGATGCAGACAAAGAAGGGAGACATACCAGAGGACTGAGCTGAGGATAAAAGCTCAGGTAGCATTTATTTATAAAGCCATTTCCCCTTTACTGCACTTATTCAAAACAAAAAACAAACAGAAGAGCCCCAGACACAGTATTATGTATGTAGTACTCTATAAAGACAAGCTCTATTGTCAAATAAGTCTAAGTGATTACAGATGAAGTCTTTCATTCATTTATATAACCCACTACCGGAGCCTGGAGCCCATTATATGTAAGAAAGAAATAGGATAAAAGGTTACTTTGAACAAATGCATGCATTTCCATGGGTAGTTCTAATTGCCTAACAATTATAATCCTTCAGAGATTAAACTAGTGAATGAGTATTAGCCAGTGTCATACAGGAGGTCTGATTTAGACATAGAACTCAGGTGGTCTACTTTCCAGATTTAGTTATACTGGTGTAAACTTGGAAAATTCAAACAGTCTAACACCTGTGTTAGTGTTTCAGCAAAGTACACCCTTGCAAAGTTGAGGTCAACTCTATTAAAAGTTACAAATCCAAGAGTGTGCTTGTAATTATGTATAAAAAAGTGACATTGCAAGATTTACTTTTCAGTGATCTTGATACATTTTCAACATCCACAGTTTAGTCCACATCTCCCTCCCAAGGTCATCATCATTTGGACAAGCACAACTTTAGTCTTAACACCTATAATCATTCCCAAATCCACGGGTGCTGCCTGTTTTGAAAGACTTATGCAGGTATGCGAGTTGCAGCTTCTTCCTCTGCATCAGCTCTATTTGCATTTATTTCTGCTAATGTCCGACCAAAACGAGTCCATTCATCGCTGCGAGGGACAGCAATTTGCTGTGGAAAAATATGAAATTTGCATCCTTAGGTAAGTACAAACAGAACAGAACTGGGCTCATTTTAAATCCATCCACTAATATCGCTTGTGAACTGCAAGTGTTGCTATAACCAATTACATTATTCAAGAGATCTTTAAAAGGTCTTGCTAACCAATATAATTTATATGCACTGTCCAGAAACTCACAATGACTTAGTACTCTTTACATTAATAAAGTCAGTGCTTGATAATAATGCCAAGAGAATGCTCAAGTCTTATGTTTAAAGCAGAAAACATCTGCCTGGGCAAGCATCCTTCCATCTGGAGAGGTCATAGCACCCATTAAGAAGCTCACTGTCCACATCTAGTTTCTCCCTGGCACACTGGGTAGGTATCTTATCGCCAGTAGTGTAACGTGGGGTAGGTAAGTGAAGCATGTGCCCCAGATGCTGCCTAAGGGGAGGGGCACCAGAAGGACTTG